ATATAACCCATAGAAGCAGCGCAATGAATAGGCATAATATCTTTTGAATATACACACACAATAATCGTATCAAGCTAGCTCATCATTATATATATATATATATATATATATATATATATAACATATATATGAAAGTATATATGCTATGATGCAATGAGCTGCATCCGCTGTGAAACACTTTTTATTTACTTTACAGTACTTCAAAAAAACTTCCAATAAAGAATTTAAAATTTACGTAGGTCATACTTAGTTATGTGTCGGTGTAACTGTGTCGCGTGTGTTTGAATCAATGCAAAATTCAGGTGATTGTTTTGATACACTGAAGTGATACATTTATTGTCAATTTGCAAATACTACAATTTTTTCACTTGAAGTTTATTAAAATTCCACTATGTAAGCTAAAAAACTTCGCTCGATGCTGCGACACTATAGGACTTCGCAAATTACCCTATAGTGGGAATCCTCCCCGCCCCCACCCCAAGACAATACCTTGCCCTTCATTGCCCAGCCCTCTCCCCAAATTTGAAACGCTGGCGCCGCCACTGTACAAAACAAAATAAACAAGTTGCATAAAATAAATAAATCACCTCTTTTACGTTTACTTTGTAATATTTGATAAGTTCACGATAAAGACTGTTGTATACGGTACCGGTAACAGACTGAATGAAGCCTGTTACGTGATTATAATAAAATACTTGCATAATTAATGTATACCAATGACCATTGTGCTCACCGGACCCTTTGTTGAATACCATCTAACCTTGACTATAATATATAAACTAAAATAGCTGCATTTAAATCAATTGTATCCGCTAAGTTCGCCCAAAACCTAATTTTATTTATTTCTTTATTTATTTATTTATATTTTTTATTTTTTTTTAAACAAAACACTAGGTCCATTGAAAGCACAGAGCAGCTGATCATTGGAGCGGACCATTACAAAGTGCATCCGCAAAATTATTACAGTACTACAGTACGTGAAAAAAATTCGTCCGCAGACGTCAGGATATCTTGGAACAGTCAACACATGTTGTAGAGAGGGCGCTAGACACAATTGTTTTTGGTTTTTTTTAATAATGCAAGCACATTAATTCTATTAGAAGTTAAATTACATTACATCAGGTTTATACCTCCATGATTACATTAACACTTACAATTGAAGCCCCACAATCCAGGCTTTCAAATAAGCACACCAATGTTGAGGGGTTTTTACCTCCCTTTTTACCTAAAACATATAATTAGGTGTAAATAAGTGTCACATTTCCTATATAATCTGTGTGCAAGTACTTTAGTTTATTCACGTGTCATTTGTTACCACATGGATGTCATTTGGGCATCCAAATCACAAAAAAATGTTGCTTTCCGATACCGTAAAACCTCGAATAGAAGCCTAGGCTTCTTGTTTTTTGCTACCTTTGGATAGGCTTCTTTTTTTCTTGTAAATGGGGGGGGGGGGGGGGCCTTCATTTCATTTTCCAAAATGAATGCTGTACATTTGGGAATTGCTACTATGAAACAATACATACGGCCATTGTAACATCAGTCTATATCACGGAGTGTATTAACCGGCAAATATACTACTGTAGGCCTAACCGAGCGTATTCTTAATTGATTTTGTTTGTTTGTAATGCATGTAGTGTGTACAAGGCCTGTACTATCCCGAAAAGAAGTGCTCAATTCGAAACGGGCTTCTTCTCGAGAATAAGCCCATTCGGCTTCAATTCGAGGTTATTATAAAGTCAAGATGTTTTTTCATGTTTTAAAAGAAGAGGTTGTAATGCTGTACATTTGGGAATTGCTACTATGAAACAATACATACGGCCACTGTAACATCAGTCTATATCATGGAGTGTATTAACCGGCAAATATACTACTGTAGGCCTAACCGAGCGTATTCTTAATTGATTTTGTTTGTTTGTAATGCATGTAGTGTGTACAAGGCCTGTACTATCCCGAAAAGAAGTGCTCAATTCGAAACGGGCTTCTTCTCGAGAATAAGCCCATTCGGCTTCAATTCGAGGTTATTATAAAGTCAAGATGTTTTTTCATGTTTTAAAAGAAGAGGTTGTTGCTTGAGCCTACATTGGGCTCTTTTCGGCATGTATCATAAAGGATTTTTAAAATTAACTTCTTCTATTTTGTAGTACGGTATAAACATAGAATTCAGTGTATATAGAAAATGTTTCGCATAATTTTACACCAAAAAGCGAAAGAAACTCTAGTCTCTAGAAATGCTTTATTTTTATTATGATTATCCAGAGTAAAAAACAAACAAAAAAACAAAACAAAAAAAACCCAGGTAAACATATTTTTGTAAATTCATTAATGTCTATGCTCAAGTGATTTTCAAAATTACAGTATTTTATTTTTTTATTATTATTATTTTCAAGGTACATCTTTAACCCATAAAACTCGAAAATACTAAATTAAATTAGTCATCATTGAAGTATTTGGTAAATATACCATTCTTGACTGTCCGATACATTTTCTTTATATTATTATTTATGTTATACATATAAATGCGCGTGTATAACTGCTCCGAACCTAATAAACCAGCTACCAGACTAAGAAAACACTGCCATTTGCTCTCTTGAAGCTTAAATCCCATCTGCTTTTTCATTTTTATTATTTCTTCGACCTTTGTTACACGTAGGCTATAGTTTTCAGTGCATAGAGCGGATTGTGTATCGACAACCATTGTCCATAATTATTGTTGCACTAATGGCGCTCCATATCGATGAATATGACGTCTGGATAGAGAGCCTCAAGAATAATTTTATGGTTTCCACCATGGGCGCAGCCACCTTGGAAAAGAGTGCGCCCTCCCTTGGAAGAGTTTAATTGGTCGTCTTCACGGGCATGGGCGCAGACATCTTGAAATTCAGTATGGGATCTCTCGTTGGAATATTAAAAATCCAAGATGTCTGCGTCCATGGCGAATTTCATGCTTGAGTTAGTTATTTCAATGAACTTTGTCCTGCGTTTCCTGATGTTAGACTTGTGGAAACTTTAAACTTGTTTTACTACAGTGAAACTGATTAAACATTGGCCAAAATATGCACATGCGCGAGAACCACAAGTAAACAAAATAAGCCAATCCTTGTAAATCTTGTACTATAACTTTAATCAGCATTATTCTCTTACGTCACAGGCTCGTGACTATTAAGCAATAAGTGCAAAAGTCAATACAAAAATAATAATAATAATAATAATAATATTACCATAATAAAATTAATAAAAAATTACATATTTTCTTCATATTAGGCCACATTCTTCAGTTGGACAAATATGTATTTAAAAAAACAAATGTTTAACAGAGGCCCATATGATACTAATATGTAGCTTGGGCACTAAAAAAGATGAACTTAGGATAAGAAACTCATCCAAGCCCAGTGGTTGTCATGGTAATATACACATAGATTTTCAGCCATGAAAATACCCACTGTCATACAATCTATGCAGTTTTGGTAATGTTCCAAAAAGGTTGTAAACCATTTTATTTGATACAAATTTGGAAATATATTACCGTTATACTAACAAAATTGCCAAATTTTGTACAAACTTGCCTTGTACAAAAAAACAGCATGTTCAATGTGCTTATACACAAGGTACCATTAAAATTCTTGGGGGAAAAAAATAAATAAATACCCTAAAATAAACTTTCAGCTTTGGCTCTTTTTTTTTTTTTCTAATGGTAATAAACCAAAGACAGCTCCTAATTTATCACATTAGCCAAGGTACGTATTATCCAGATAAAAAAAACTAAGCGATAATTAAGTGTATAGTAATCCTTTGTACATATGTACAGTGAAGATACTTTACTCCTAAACAACATAGGTGCGATATAAAGTAAAGACAAAGCTCACCAAATTATTGGCTATTCGTAACAGACAGTGCAACCTATAGACTATTGCAAAAAAACATCTCAAGAATGAACAGAACTAAAATCTTACCAACAAAAATTGTAAGCTTATAACAAAGGCACTGAAATTAACAAACCAATCATTCGAAATACGAAATTGTTATAACTCAATTTGACAAAAAATATGCAAATAAGATATGCAAATGTCAGCTCCATGATATAACAGTACATTCTATACATGTGCGTTTAGCCATTCACAGGGACACTAGCGAGGATGTTTTCATTTTTTTTTTTAAATGGCAGAAAACGCAGGTGCACTGATGGGTTAACATATGCTTACAGTGATTTAGCTGTTGACAGAGAGCAGCAATTCCAAGAAACATGACATGAGAAATATGGTCATGGTGACATCACATCATGACTAAATATGGGCATACAACAGATTTATAGATTTATGTCAAAGAAAATTTGATAGTATGGACAAAACGTAAGATTAGAAATCTATCATAGATGTTGGTCAGATATCATCCTGATTGTAGTATAATACTATCCATAATACAAATGAACTTGGAAATTGGTTCGAAGTTGGAAATTAAAGCTTGTATGTTATGTTCCAGTTTACTGAAGTATTTACAATTTAAACATAACATACAAATTATCCATATATGTAAATTCACAACATGCGTCAAAACTGAACCTTATAAAATAAATATATTTGGCGTTTTTATAGATGACAAAAATGTTTACTGTTCTCCATTACCCATTAGATTGTAACAAAGTTTTGTTAATCCAAAAAACATAACATTAATAATATGAAGAATTAAGGAATAGGTACCAAAGCACACATCGGAATGAAAAATACGGAAAATTTTCTAAGAGGCAAATTTCATACCATATTACTACCACTGGCCATAATTAAGTCATAAAGACGAATTAGGATAGACATCATTTTTTTTTTAGAAAGCTGTTTTCGAAGTTTAAAATTTAGAAAATCTGCTAGAGTTTTGCAAAATCACCAGAACAGAAAATATTTTTTAAATTTCATCATTAAACATTTTTCCAAAAAATTCCATTCAGTAAGTTTCTTCGAATATGTTGCTGCATTCATAAATGTATATATTAATTGAACTGACATGTTAACATTCAGGTGCGTTAACATACAGAAGGCAATACTGTACAAGGGTGTACATATCATTTACAAAAATCACTTCAAACATATAGCATTTTTAAAAATTTATTATATGGCATACTTGGAACAGTAAACGTTGTGATTAAGTGCTCTCCATTCAATTCCAGGTACCTGGGTTCAATTACTTCCAAATCAGACCTATTTTTTATGACACTTTTATATAGTTTAATGATGAATTTGGCAAATGGGCTTTCAAAATTAAAGCGAATGAAAACTAAAATTAGACCAAACCGAGAGCATCAATGATACGATAGGCCACTGGACAAGGGCAACGTTTCAGCTTTGTCTGTGGGGTGGTTGTGGGTTGCGTTGTTTACATGTATTGAACATTAAAATGTTCTACGTTGCCGTTAGAAATCATAGCCCGTTATTTGGCGAAACAACTTGCAAAATAAATGCAAGTGAAAAACAAAAATTAGACCAAAAAAATAATATAGTTATAGGCATACCCTTTTATCTGTTTAAATTTTCATATAATTCAACTCTTATTTTACATGAAAATTAAAACTAAATTTACTATAAATTTGTTTGTTTTCTATACACATTACAGGCCAATACAATAGAATTTGATAGTAAATCACTGATGACCATGTTTTGCTTTCCCTTAAGCCGGGCACTCACCGCCCTCGACGGTCGTCGGCTGACTCGATTCTATGAAAAACTCAACTGGACGACGCAATGACAATCCGCTCAGACGACCACCGATAATCAGCAGATGGCTTTACATGGTGCAGTGATTAAAGGCAGAAGAGTTGGAATCGTCGTGCGACGGTCGTAAAATGCAGTGAGTGTCTAGCTTAAATTTCATCAGTAACAAGTAAAAAACTAAGATACTTTCTCCTCAAACACATTTTATATCACTAACAATACTCTGCTTATTGTATTAATTTTCAATTTCCTCTGCTATACATCCTACCGTACAATTTACAATTCGCCTAGACACAGCCCGCTATAAGTAATTCAAACATAAGCGCCTTAGAAGCGCCCTTCAAAAACAATGCATCCCACCTTTATCATCCAATTTTCAAGTAGCTACACAATGTACCTATTTCATAGGTCTTCAATACCAAAAATGGAAGTCCAACACAGTATTTTGGTGATGTTTGGTGATAGGAAGAGAAGCATATGAAATGCCCAGCTCCAATTCAAATTACTTTCTTATTGGTTTTCTAACTGGAAGATAATTACTCAATAATCACATACTTTCCAACACTGCGTAACTCTCAGCTACCAAACAAAATGTATTACCATTCATATCCTCCATATACCATGAACCACAATGATCTTAACACAGAAAATGATTCATATATGCTATGCTAGTGAATAAGAAAGCAATGTTTATTTCTTTCACTCACTAAACACCCAACTAATTTAAAAGTACATTATTGTCTGAGGTCATAGTTCAAATGCTTTATAATTCTATAACAAACAAAAAATGCATAAAACAAAACTTGGAATTAACACACCATACCCACCCTGAATTGAATTAATGTAATTAATTTGCAAAAATTAGCCAAATTTTTTTATAGCATATAGTGTTGGTATGTTGTATGCTATAAAAAATAACCTTTAACCTTGAGTGTCAAAAAGACAAACACTGGAAAGGCAGAGCTACACAGTTCATGATACTTTTAGGTACGAATCTGGATATGTACTTTGTGGAAACTGCAGTGTCTGTAAACTGCAAACATTAATGCATCAGATAGCAGTTACACATTCTTAATGTTGACTGTTTACCTGTTGGTTTAACAGCTATATTATCGGTATTTAATTTTTTGATATATTCATAAATGATTATAGAGGGAAATAGCACTTAAGCTAGCCAAACCCTAAACGATTCAACAAAATCTCTAGAGGGAGCTGTTAATGAAAGTGTGGTAGTGCAGGAAAAAAAAGTAGAATAAAAGAAATTATTTAAACAAATTGTTAAAAAACTATTAATTTTAGGAATGTTCCAAATCATTGGAAGAGTACTGCTATGTCAAAGAGCATATAAAAATCCCTTCAACATCAACATTAATTCTTATAGTACATCATCTTTCAATTTTAACATTAAATGTTACCACAAAAAAAAATAATTTTCACAGTTGAAACCTTCACAAGGAAAAAAACAAATTAGTCTAAGCAAACATATGGTAATATATGTAAAGCATTGTCCCCACTATTTTCGTGGGGTATAGAGTAACCACTGGACCAACCATGCCATTGTCTTTCTAAATCATAACATCCATTCACACCAGACCAATGCGTGGTATGTATTCTATCGATTTCACCTTCTGTTACTATACGAACAGGTTCTTCAGATATATCATTTCTTTGTATAGTGCCTTCATGCTCTTGCTTCATTGAACAAGATGTGAGACAAGTATCCATTTTTGATTCTAGCGGTGGGCTAGTTCTTAATGCATTTATGTTACTTTCAGTATCAACAAATGTTTGACTATGAGAAACATTGTCTACGTGTTTGCTGCTGAACAATAAACTATTTTTCTCAAGAGTATCTTGATTGCTTTTCATATAAATAGTTGAATCATTTGCAACATCGCCATCCTCATCAAATAGAGAGTGTGTACGTGAAGAAGACTCAAATTTCTCATCACTTCTTAGGGACCTATCGAGGCTTGAATCTCCATAAAGATGATGTTCATCATCATCAAATATGGATTTTGTCTTCACTTTAGAATCATCATCAAATATTGACTGCATTGGAGGTGCAGCAGATGTTTTTTCCTCCTTCCTTCTAGGATGCGAAACAGAAGCAAATGCGGGTGAGACAACATTATTTCTCTTTCCATCTTTTAAGGTATTGCTTATTTTTGGCGAGAACCTAGATTTCGGTGAAGCTTTTAGTCTACCAAGTGCAGACGAAGGGCTTTTTGTGGTTTCCGGTTTCAACAAGCCGGGCGATGATTTCGCTGATTTACTACCTTCGGCAATTCCTAATGAATTACTTGACTTAACTTTTGGTAATCTTTTGGCATTTTCTAAAGAATTAACATTGGGCGATGATGTCCTCTTGGAGATAGAGGGCGATAGATTAGAAACAGATTGTCCGGATTTTGAAAGCTTTTGATGGGATGCTAATCCGACATGTTTGTTTTTATTTTCATTTGTCTTTTTCAAACCTGACTTTACTGTTTTTCCTTCTCTTGGAATACCATTAGAGTCATGAACTTTAGAGGATTTGACAAGTTTTGCAGAGGGCTGCCCTTCTCTGGGTGAAGAAGTTTCAGCTTTCCTCCTCTTGCGATTGGCAGGATTTGTTTTATCGACACTAGGTTGTGAAGGAGCGCCTTCCTGCACAAGGGAAAGGGATTCTGAGGAGGCAGGGTTTGAAGCTGGAGCAGAGGCAACTGCCCCTGCAGAACTAGGGGGAGTTCTTTGGTTTGCCTGTGGAGAATTGCTGCTGCCATTGGAATTTTTTAAATGTTGCTTTTGCCACTGACGGACCAATTTCCGACAACGGTTTGTCAGTTCTCTGTCGGCTGATTTCTTTCGAATATCATTTACAAGTTTACCTAATCGTGTTTCCTGGAAGATAAAAAAAAGTCAAAGTTACCAATATAAAACTTGTGATTGTTTACTGGAACTATCTTAAGTTTCAACATCTGACACAAAGAAATGTCTAGCCCATAATTATTTCTCTTCACGAAGCCAACAAATGATTTCTGTTTAACTGGCCCTGTATCAGCAGCAGCACTGCTGTGCCATTGGTCAGGTCAGTGCATGAATGCAGTTAAATGAATACATTTACAAGTTTACCTAATCGTGTTTCCTGGAAGATAAAAAAAATCCAAGTTACCAATATAAAACTTATTGTTTACTGGACCTATCTTAAGTTTCATCATCTGACACAAAAAAATGTCTAGCCCATAATTCTCTCGTCACTAAGCCAGCAGGTGATTTATGTTTAACTGGCCCTGTATCAGCTGCAGCACTGCTGCATAATATGGGGCTCAACCCTGGATTTTAACCCACTAGTAAAAATGGTATGGTAACCAACAGGATGAATCCATGGTTAAAAGGTATCAAATTGACTAAAGCCTAATAATATATATTTTAGGCTCCAAGAAAAAATGTACTTTGACAAAAAAAAAGCAACAGACAATTTATGGCTGGCCAGGGTTGGATTAAATTCACTTTTTTTAGGCCTAATGAGGTAGTAATAAATATTGTAATAGTAATAATAATCATATTCTTTTGAAATAAATGTGGGAATTGCTCACAAATTTTACTTATATTTACATTTTTACCTATTTAACAATCACAAGGCCAGTATTTAACCAATAAATTAAAACCCCCGCAATGGCCCAATGCTAACCCTGGAAATGGCCCCGACCAATGACTAGGAAAAAAGTACAACAAAGGAATCTTCCTATAATTGATATCTGTTTTATACACATACTAAATAATTATTATCTGATTACTATATAATTATGAATTAGTTTGAATAAAATTAAATTAACATAATCAAGTTTTTTGGATTATACTTGACTTACTTCAAGAGATTCTTTGGGAATGAAGGTCTTCTCCAATACATGGATGGCCTCCAAGACGTGGCCCATTTCAACCACCTAAAAGAAACAGAGAGAAAAAGTAGATATATTTAAATGAATTTACTTTTAAGATGTACAGTCAATAAATATTAACCATTTCGGATGTACAGTTGAACTTGCCTAAATTTTTCAAATTGAATTCTAGATACAAATTTGACTTACCGATCATTAATTAATGGAAAACAACGAGTTGGCATGTAAAATAAGATCGACTAGCAAATTAACCGAGTTACGCAAAGTCCAGAGTAGTAACATGTTTTTTGTCTTTTAATATTATGCAATGAATAATTTCTTATTCACTAAATATGGGCGACACTAACATAAAGCATAGGTCTTCTAATTTCAGTATGACAGTATAACAGTAACATTGGCAATCTGTTGGACATGTAACTGTATTACAAACAGTATAGTAGTGGACTTATCTATGAGATCATCTCCTAATTTTTTACATAGTTTTTCATGTGCATAATGAGCAATGTTGCACAGAATTACAAATATTGTGATATTCCTTGATTGTCTATGCGGGCATTTAATTTATAGCTTTATTCACACTATCAAATACTTCGTGACAAATTTGTGTGATGTGCCATATATGGGCATAGTACACCCAAATATGGTCATATCACATTTTTTGTCACTATAATATGATAGTGTGGACAGATGACCTTAATAAAAAATTTACACGAAAGATGATGTGAAACATGCCCAATGCTAGGAAATACCTATCAACCAGCTTAACAGCTGTGTGAACATGTTCCGTGTAACATCTTTAATTTAAAGAAAAAAAATGCAAAAAGGGCAAACATTTGCCATTTGCATATTGTTTGCCCTTTGCAAACTGGAAAATAACATTGGAGGTAAAAAGACAACATATCATGATTGACAAAATATCTTGTTTATATCACAAACCCTTCGGTATGTAAAATGAATTCAGAATTATCTTGAATATGTTTGCTTCAGTGATACTGTAGAAACCAGAACTGCATATTTCTAGATAATGCCCATCTGCATTTCACAATGATAATATCCAAAACATGTATCCATTGCATCAATAGTCATTAGAAGGCACAATATCATTGATATCTGGGACATTTCTTGTAACTACAGGTCAGTTTGAACGGTGGCTTGTTATGCTTCAGTAGTCGCGTATCTATGTGCACTTAATAGCTTCCTTGTATCAGTAGAATAAAAACCAAAGACAAATGACTGTAATATATGGTAATATACAGTATCATTAACCATTAATTTACAGTAAATATATTAACCATGTAGTGGTACATTGGGTTTAGCAGCTGTTACTAATTTAGATGAAGATAACGCAAACTAATAATAGGCTCCTTACTGTAATAGTTATAATCAAACTAACCAGGTTATAATGTTTTCATACAGAATAGTGGAACCTGGCAGATGCCAGCTTCATAACAGGATACAGTATACTGTACAGTATATTACCAATGATCCTCATCCTGCTTTGTCAAAATGATAGAATTTAAATCACATTGGACTCTACTGCTATCATTCAGTTATGAACTCATGTAGCTTTGTAAAAAATACACTTGTACTCTGATGTACAGTACATTACAGTACAGAGAATATTTATAATACTAAACTACTGTATTAACAAACAAAAAAAACAACAATAATAGTAATGATGATACTGAAAATAATATAATGAAAATGATAAGGATGAAGACAGGATATAGTAAATTGATGATAATGAAAATGATAAGGATGATGATACAGATATTATGAAGGATGATAATGATATTGATGATAATACTGATCTGATGATGATAATGAAATGAAGGATCATGACACTGATGATGATGATGATGATGATGACAATGAAATGAAGAGGATGATGATGATGATGAACTTGCCATGTAACTATGAATGGACCATTCTATGAATTGGAATATTAAAGATTGTTACAGTATTGCACATATTCAACACAAAATACAAAGTTAAAATCGCCATACCTGTCCTCTAAATTTTAACACATAAATTTAAAGCTACCTTTCTGATTAAACTAGACTAATAATGTACAGGGGTAGATTTGCCAACTCCCTAACGAGAACGCCGGTGGGTGTGGTCGAGCATCGCTTAAAATCTCTTGATAATGATTCAGGGGAGTAACCCCCTGAAACTGACAACTTAGGGGTTTCAAAGGCTTTATAATTAAACTAATAATGTAAAAATATTAAATATATTGAATTTTTTCTTCTCTCCGACTCAGCATTTTTCTCCCCGACTGGGAGCCAGGTCTCCTCCACTTGCATCACCCCCTGCTATATACTAATCATTTTCAATTTTTTTTTTTTTTCACAAATGTTTAAGGATGGAGTACATACCGCAACACTTCTCAATAAAGAATTACTTTCAAATTGCAGTTTTGAGACTGTTTGAATAATAATAATGATGTTAATAAATCATAAAAATAATAATGCTAAACTATACTGTTGCACAATGCATCCAAGTTTTGACGCACTTCACACGTTGACTGCCAGACCCTTTTTTTTTTTAAAGTTTTGTACCATGTGCCAAAACAAGTGTACACACAAACTTACTTTCTTGAAATGTTATCAAGTCACATTCATTATCATCAAAATGGTGTGTCTAATAAATTGGCGGAAAAATGTTTGGGGATGAGTAAACTTGTTGCTGGATATGGGACAGTAGGCTTACTTTCTATTGTTTTGCAAAGTGCGAGTTTTCTTGTCCGCTTTTTGCATGGGTTGGTATATGTTCAGAGGGAACTCTTGCAATCTTTTGTACAGCTGGCAACATAACAAAACAAACATACATATGCTGTTTGTATGTTATCGTGTTTAGGTGCATCTTCCCCAAACTATCAGCCGTTAAGTCTGTGGTTCTACAATGTACAGTATAACAATGAACTGTAATTAAACGCTAGAATATTACCCGGTTACGGGTACAGTCATCCTCAGGAAGACTATGTGGGACGTCACGGGCAGCTAATATGTTAAAGAACAAAACTGATTGTTTTCTGTAAATTTACATAATTGCTTGACAATAGGGAATATTCAATTTGCATTAATTTAACAGCACATTTTTGAACATACTGTATGAATATTCTCTCCTAAAATCCAGTTAGTTGGCCAAATCTTTCAGAATTATGGCTTTCGTGCGGCGTTTATTCGAGAGCGGGCTTATAAAAAATATTGCCATAGCACTTTCCATACCCGTTCCCTGTTTCCTATTTCACGTATTGCCATAGTTCAGTAGTCCTACGCCATCGTAAATAAACGTTCATAATGAAATGCTTTAGTGTCTTCATTTGTTATTTATCTATTTTAATACCGTATTGTATTTAAAATCCTGTTTCTCCAAGTGTTTCATTACACACAATGTCATATTTTAAGCACTGTGGTGCTTATTCGAGAGCGGTGCTTATTCGAGCATTTACGTTACATTAACCATTGATGCAGCCATGGAATTTTGTGACAACTCCACGTACCCACTGTCACAGTACTGTAATAAAAAACATAATTTTGTGGGATTAGTTTTTGAGATACTTTGCTTGATTGCAAAAGTGCAGGGACCTGTGCCGATCTAGGACTACTCCTGCAAATTCAAGGAGACTGTGTACAGTACACTGAAATCAGACAATTATAGAATTAGCAGTAAAATTGGACAATGCAAGTCATGTTGGTACAGTAAGTGCATTGTGACCAGGCAGATGGCTGAACTATAAAATTTAGTTCCTGCATTAGAGAGTTGAATTCTATATTGCATGCTGAATACGGTAAGCTGTTTTTTAATGGCAGAATATGAGCAGATTGAATGAAAAATGGGTCAAAAATGTAAATTATATCCAAATGCCATATAACATTGTTCCTCAGTCCAAACAATCACAGATGCAGCACCATAGGCTTCCTCACAAGGGGGAACTTGTATGTAGCAGGGTGTTGTTTCAACAAGGCCAGACTGGAAAGCCATACCATTTTAGGTAAAATGGATAGGCCAATCTAGGCCTATGCCTTCCTTGGTAGAAAAAGCAGTGAACAAATCAGTCCTAGCCTATGTATGGGGCCGCCTAGCTAGGGCTGACTACTGTCATAATACCACTAGATAAACACATCTTAATCCTAGGTGGCTATATAATTATTTAGTTGTAATGCACAGTAGTAGTATACTGTACTGTACAATTCTCCTTTCCCTGCTGTAGACAACTTCACTACACACAACGATACGTTGTTCGGCCTTTTTCACTGCGTGCGAGGAACGTTTCGTGATTTTAACTCAATAGCAAAATCAACAAATACAGCTTTAAACATTCCATATCTGTAAATGAAATGACATTTCCACACCTAAACCTACCAATACACATAAACAGTTAGTTGCATGCTAGCTTCGTATCGTATTCGAAGCATGTTCAGCTCACCCGGCTATCAGTATTGTACAATCCATTGCCCGTGTATTGTACAGCAAGAGAGTGAATCTGCGCAGTGCAGTTCAGTGTGTGGTTAGACGGCACACACTTCACACGAAGCGAGAAATCGCTCTCCTATAAAATCACTAATTTTAAGAAATCTAGGCATTATTTTCATTTCTAGGTGCTTACATTCGCATCTTGATCGATTGCACTTAGCAGTTTTTCCTTGATCTGTTGCGCTGACAGCGGCATTTGACCGAAAATCGCCGGTCAAACTCAGCCGTGTGGTTGTGCCTGCACAACGAAGGCCCTTGGTAGACATTACGGCAATTTCCCTCCGCAAGAGCGATGAATTGTGGGATGTACGATGGGATGGTTCTCCGAACATGACGTCAACTGACGGAAATTACCGAAGATGACGTAGACTCCGCAACGATCATGCAAATTTCATGCTAATTTGGAATAATCCATTTTACTCTAGGGGAACGTATGTTTATCGCCAATGAGGGCAGCATTTTCTCCGTTATGGAGAGGGTATCTACCTCATTATCATGTACATACAGGTAGGCCTAAACAAAATTAGATTTCTAATTAATATCGACCAGGGTTGGCGTCAGTGGGGGCTGGGCCATGGGGCCCCCGTCGGGCTATCAGTTGGGGAAAAAATTTCATCAGGGAGAGAAAAAACTTTCAATTTTTTAAGTTGTGCCCTGGACCCCCTCTAAGAAGCTGAGTAACACTCCACGCCAACTTACGTTCTCGTCGTGACATCGGCCCTTTCGTTAAAACATCGCCCCTCTCCTACCAAACCCAGACGCCCACTCATCGACATAATTATAATCTGATTATGTTTCCTGTATATTGACAATAAAAAAAACATATGCACTACTTGCGTACATTATCAATTATCAATGTGCTTCGCATAGGCCTCACATACTTGATCATGATTGATGTATATATATATATATATATA